CTGTTAAGACATTGGGGCTGATCTTTGCTCATTTGAGGGCTATTGTAGGCACTACACTACCTCTTCAATCCTTGTGCAATTAAAAGCGGGAGCACTGCAAATTTATCCAAGATGGGTGGACACAGTCAGAGCTGACCCTGGAATGTAATCCTATATGCTTGTCTAGTTTACCCACAACACACCTTCCCTAGGCAAAGAGCCAGGGCTGGTAAAAATAGTTTGGTTTTTTTCTAAGCAGAAAGGAAATTAAAAGAGTGATGGTGAAAGTGACAAGAAACTAACAACAAAGGGATTGTGACAGGAGTTTCTTGGTGTATGAAAGGAAAGAGAAAGATTGAAAAGAATGGTGTGGTGCTAAGTCAGTTCTTTTATTTCTGAAAAATATGTTAGATTAGGACCAGTGGCAATGTGTAAGGGGTGCACGTGCACCCCCTGAGAGCGCTGGTGTGCACCCCCTGACAGGCCGTGCTCCCCACTTAGGTGACGGGCAGGGGGGACAGTGGGAGCACCGGTGCCCCCCCACTGTGAGCGCCAGCTAGGGAGTGGGAGTGCTGCAGTCACTTCTGGAAGCACCACAGCCACCACCAGAAGCCGGTGAGTGAGATCCGCCACAGGGCCTCCCCGGCTGGCAAGTTTGGCCACAGGGGGACCCTCCCCCTGGTCGCTGACTGGTCACTGGCGGGGCATGTGCCCCCCCTGAGTAAGGTGGCACTAATTTCCCATGATTAGGACTGATCTCAAGTCCTTTTTATAAGCTACCTAAATAAATCCTTTGTGGTTTGTACTCCACGTGACTTCCTTTGCTATTCAAGTTAGCCAAGAGCAATTTCCTTAGGGCTTTTTAGGTTGTTACTTTTGAGTTCTTGGATTTCAAAATGTGTGCCATAGCTATTTGGATTAGCATTAGCATTACATTTCAGGAGGAAGAGATTACTTGTGGGCAGAGAAAAAGGAGACCAAAGAGATAAAACAGCAGTCAAAAGAACTGGAGAAATGACTGGAAATGTGGGAAGCTGATGCATTTATAGTTCTAGAAAAATACCGCCTTAATTTCTTCCGAGATTGAGAGAGCTCCCAAGCTGCAAAATTTTGAATGTCTTGGAGGTGCGCTTGTATGAAAGGAAAGAAAGTTTTGTCCTCCTTTTTTCCCCTCATAGTATTGAGAACTGGCAATTCCCAGGGGCAATTGTTCTGGTAGGGTAGTTCCTAGGTACCTAGGCTAGTAGTTTCAGAACAGCCAGTTTAATCTCTATTTGTGTGCTTACACACCACATTATATCGAAAGGAGCAAGTAAAAGAAAACAAGTTCCCAAATAGAATTGCTTTTTAACAGTGTGTTTCCTCAATTGTCTTCTCATTTGGGCTCATTGGCTGTGCAATGAGGAAAACAATTGGATGTGAATAGAACTGGCAGCCTTTGGCAGTGGAAATCTCTTGAACTGGAAAGAGCTGTTGGTTATGTTTGCACTCTACGGCCAGCTTTATGATTTGGGTGGTCTAACGGCTGAATGGAGGACTCCCTAATTACCGTGACATTCCTCACACTTCTCTACTGCCAGTAGTATTGCGGGTAGAAACAAATCGCTCTATCAGTGTTTCCTCTGTAGAGCGCTGGGCCTGATTCTGGTTATGGGAGCCACTTGTGCCAACAGGTGGTCCTAGATGAACATTGTTGTTAGTGGGACTGGTTGGATTGTCTACCACTTAAGGTTACCCAAGTTTTCTTATTATAAGACTCTGGTTTCAGCTACTTAAAATGTTAATCAAACTTCAATCATCTGAGCTAAAATTGTAAAGCTAGTTCTTGCCTCAGGCTATGCTTCTGCAGATATTTAAGCCGAAAGAGTATAGTATTACCAAAAATGAAACTGGGAAAAATGATGTGTTTTTGTCCATATTTTTAAAATCTTGCAAACTTTTTCTTTTGGTGTTTCTAGCACTGCCACTGCTTCAGAGAATGGATTTGAAATAGGGTGGCTTTTGCCATCAGGCACGTGCCTTCTGCCATCCCCACAAAAATCAGTTGAATTTGGCCAAGTTAATTTTCAGTAGTGACTTAGATTTTTAGCAGTTAGATTTCGCAAAGATACCATCTCCAGTACTGCCAACTCTCATGATTTTTGGCATTGTTCCTAAAGTCTACGCTTAGGGAATATGAAAATCTTAGTTTTTATATCTTACATATATAGAGATATATATCTATCTATATCTAGATGCAGTGTTGCCAACTCTCATGATTTCTGGCCCTGTTCTTAAAGTCTGCATTTCAGGAATATGAAAAATGTAGTTCTTTCTTTTACGTAGCTATAGATATAGGTATCTATCTATCTATCTATCTATTTATTTATCTATCTATATCTATAGCTATGTAAAAGAAAGAACTACATTTTTCATATCTATCTATCTATATCTAGATGCAGCGACGCCAAGCAGGAGGGGCGCGGGCACGGTGCACCTCTGCCGCGCCCGTCCGAGTGCAGGACGGGACTATGCCCTGCAGCTGACTCGTAGCTCTTGCCGGTCACGCCTGGGGGTTTGCGTCTCCTGGGCGGCCAAGGAAGGACTCTCCCACCCTGCCCTCCACTGGCCCCGATTCTGATGCTGAGGGAGCAGCTCCGTCGGTGCGGCAGGACGCAGCAGCACCCCCTTCCCCCCAGCCCCTGGCGGCTCCGCCCGGCCCCCGGAGGAAGCGGTGCCGGCGCATCCCCACCCCCGCAGCGCCCGGGCTCCTCCCCGCGGCGCCTCAGCCAGGGCAGCCCCGGCCCGGAGCGCGCCCGCCGCGCCCCGCGCGCTCAGGTAGGGCTGCGCTGCTGCCCGCGCCGGTCCTGAGGGGGCACGTGGAGGGCAGGGCAGGGCAGGGCAGGGGAGCCGAGAGGGCTGCGGGCTGCCCCCTCCTCTCCTGGGAGCAGTTGTTCCCTCCCCGGGAGGCAGTTGTGCCGGCAGGGTAGCTCCTAGGTAGCTAGGCTGGCGGCTTCAGAGCAGCCAGCGTAACCTCTATGCGATTGTGAGCGTGCACAGCGAAAGGAGCGAGGAAAAGAAAAACAAGTTCCCAAAGGGAATTGCTTTTCTTTTTAACAGGGTGCTTTCTCAGTCGTCTCAATCTCCTTCTCGATCTCTTTTGGGCTCACCGGCTGTGTGGTGAGGAAGACAGTTGGGTGTGAATGCCTGTGGCGGTGAAAAAACCTCTTGAACTAGAGAAAGAGCTAGCGAGAGGTTGGCGGTTAGGTTTGCGCTCCCCGGGCAGCTTTATCATTTGGGTGGTCTAAGAGGGAGGCGGCTCAATGGAGGGCTCTGTAATTACTGGGACTTTCCTCACAGTTCGTGGCTGTCAGTGGGACCGCGGGTACCAACAACTCGCGCTCTTGCTGTGGCCTGTAGAGTCAAGCCAAGGTCCAAGGGCTGATGCTGCAGGAGTGCGAGCAGCACTGCACGCGTGAGCAGGGCTGGCCTTGCTTTGAACCGGGGGTCAGGCTGCAGCCCCAGTCCTGTCAAAGTCCGTGTTTGCAGTCGGCAGTTGCCTTTCTCTGGTGGACCATGTCCAAATGCTGAACTCTGAACTTCTAAGTGTGTTTGGGAATTCAGCCCCTGAGTGTTTGGATACAGGGTTTTGACCCTGCCCATTATACCTATAAAATCCAGATGCAAAGGTCGTATCCAGGCTCTTATATCAGACAAGTGCCTGTTAATAATGTGGGGGAGAGGGGAAAAGATGGTCATACAAGGGTATAAAGAAGTTATCAGACGCATGATGTGAAACTATTATTTAAGAGTAGCTGTTAGTAAAACCACCTCAGAAGGCACTTCATACTATAAGACATACTTTTTTCAAATTTCTTCTATGGTTCTCAATTTTGTAAAGATTGTTTAAAATCCTGCCTGATACGCATTCCTTTGTGCTCTCTAACTTTTCGCCTGCCTTTAAGTAATAAATATCAGCAAAGTAACTTTCATTTTTGTTTCTTGTTAGTTTCAATTCAAACTCTCTGGCTTCAAGATTTCAAACACTGCCAGTGATTGGGGTGGGGAGTAGTGGGGGTGTTTAAAAAAAAAACCCCAGCTCTTTCCCCAGTTTTTCTCCAAAAATATGTTAATGTTAGATTTTTTTTTAAGTGTGTATTTACCAAATGCAAATTTCTAGGCAAATTTAAGGTAACAATACCCCTCTGAAATATTATTTACATATAAATTGGTACCCAAAACTTTCTAGGTACTTGCAGACACAGAGGAAAATACAATACCTGTTCCAAGGAGTGTTCACTCTGAATGGACAAGAGAAGAAAGAAAAGGGTAATGGTTACAGCAAATAGACAAGTTGGTCAGATTTATGATAAGCACATTCCATGTGTTTGAGGGGGAGTTTTAACTATAAAGTATTAGCACCTCTTACACCCAAGCCATTATTGGGGACTCGTCTTACAGCGGTTAATCCATATTGTGTTCCTTAATAAATTAACCAGCGGAGGATTATTCCTCCGTTGCTCGAGACTGCAGGGGGGCTGTTAGGAAGGCGGAGACAGAACTAGTGACCAGGATCAAAGATAACAAGAAGTCCTTTTTTAAACACATAGGGAGTAAAAAGAAGGCACAGGGTAAAGTGGGGCCCCTGCAGGACACGCTTGGCAATCTGGTGGTTACACCAGACAATAAAGCTAACCTCTTTAACAAATTCTTTGCCTCCATTTTTCTGATCAGGGACCAGGACCTCCCCCCACCAGGCTTCCAGACGGACTCAGGAGAGCCACTGCCAGGCCTAGGGTCCGGGAGGACCGAGTTCAGGAACTTCTAGTGGGGCTGGACGTGTTTAAATCAGCAGGTCCAGATGCTGTCCACCCGAGGGTGCTGAGGGAATTGGCAGGGGTCATTGCAGGACCCTTGGCATGGCTTTACAAGCACTCATGGTGCTCTGGCCAGGCGCCAGAGGATTGGAACAAGGCCAATGTGGTCCCCATTTTCAAGAAAAGGAGGAAGGAGGACCCAGTAACTATAGGCCCGTTAGTCTTACCTCTGTCCTGGGGAAGATCTTTGAGAAAATTGTCCAGGAGCACATCTGCGAGGAACTAGCAGGGGAGATTATGCTGAGGGGCAACCAACATGGGTTCATTAGGGGCAGGTCCTGTCAGACCAACCTGGTTGCCTTCTACAATCAGGTCACAAAATCCTTGGATGCAAGTGTCGCAGTGGATGTTGTCTTTCTGCACTTTAGGAAGGCCTTCGACACTGTCTCTTGCCTCATTCTCATTAAAAAAACTAGGCGACTGTGGCATTGATGCCTACACAGTCAGATGGGTCGCAAATTGGATAGAGGGCTGCACCCAGAGAGTGGTGGTGGATGGGACATTTTCGACCTGGAGGGATGTGGGCAGTGGGGTTCCCCAGGGCTCGGTCCTCCTGCCTGCATTGTTCAACATCTTCATCAGCGACTTAGACAAGAGGGTGAAAAGCACCTTGTTCAAATTTGCGGATAACACTAAGATGTAGGGAGAAGTGGGCACGCTAGAGGAGAGGGACAGGCTGCAACTAGAACTGGATAGGTTACAGGGGTGGGCGGATGAGAACAGGATGGGTTTCAATACTGACAAGTGCAAGTTATTGCACCTGGGGAGGAAGAGCCAGCAGCATACCTACAGGCTTGAGAACTCCCTTCTTGTCAGCACAGAGGCAAAAAGGGATCTTGGAGTCATTACTGATTCCAAGATGAACATGGGCCGCCAATGTCAGGACGAGGTCAGGAAGGCTAACTGCACCTTGTCATGTATCCACAGATGTATCGTGAGCAGGTCCAAGGAGGTGGTCCTCCCCCTCTATGCGACATTGGTCAGGCTGCAGTTGGAGTACTGCGTCCAGTTCTGGGCGCTGCACTTCAGGAGGGATGTGACCAGCATTGAGAGGGTCCAGAGGAGGGCCACTCGCATGATCAGGGGGCAGCAGGGCAGACCCTGTGAGGAGAGGCTTTGGGACCTGAACCTGTTCAGCCTCCACAAGAGAAGGCTGAGAGGGGGCCTGGTGGCCGTCTATAAACTTATCAGGGGGGACCAGCAGGGAATGGGAGAGGCCGTGTTCCCCCAAGCACTACCCTGAGTAACTAGGAATAGCGGCCATAAGTTAACTCAGAATAGGTTCAGGCTAGACATCAGGAAGCACTACTTCACAGTCAGGGCGGCTAGGATCTGGAACCAACTTCCAAGGGAAGTGGTGCTCGCTCCTATCCTGGGGGTCTTCAAAAGGAGGCTAGATAATCACCCGGCTGGGGTCATTTGATCCCAGCATTCTTTCCTGCCCATGGCAGGGGGTCGAACTTGATGATCTACTCAGGTCCCTTCCGACCCTACCAACTATGAAATCAGGGTCTTAGTGGGTTTGAGCTATTCCCTTTAATCATCATTCCCCACTTACCTCTGAGACCTGAGCACAATCAATCAGTCTCTCCCCCTGAATGGTCACCACATCAACTTGTTTGAGAATCAGCCCCACTTTGCACAAGGCCAAAGAAATCACAGCAGAGGAAACAGCAAAGAAAATATTGAAGGAAATGCCTACACCCTAAAATTGCTAAGACTTGTGATTTTGTTTTCCATTTTATGTGTTTCAAAGTGCTGAGTGGGAATGTCCATGCCTATTTGGACAAGCAGCAGCAGAAGCATTGCTTTTGTAAGGAAAGTAGGATCATGCCCAAAT